TTCGTAAACAGAATACATAGAATGCAAGTTCAGGCTATTCACGAACTTTAGTTCTCGACTGTATATCTGAATTTTGCAAAGCTTGGTCTCATAACAAAAGCAATCTTTGAAAGTCTGGACAAGGTCTATCAACGTAAAAGTCTCCCCAGACAACATTCTGTGCGGAAAAGGCTACACTCATTAAAACTCCAGGGGGATACACCGTTGATCACTCATCTTACGGAATTTGATGATCTAATTACAGAATTCATTGGTGCAGGTGGTAGAGTTGATGAAGCGGACAAAGTATTACTTTTGTTGTTAACGAGTCTTATGAAGGAGTAATTATTGCACTTGAGACAATCAGTGAAGATCAGTTGATACTTGAATATGTCAAAACACGTTTTTTGGACTATGAAATAAAATTGAGAGCTAAGAGTAGTGACACGAGTGCCAAAGTATTACATGTTGCGAGTGAGGAAATGAGAGAAAAAGACGACAGAATGCCACACTTTGGGAATGGAACTCTACTCCTCCTACGGTAGATGGTACAAATTATTTTGTATTGTTTGTTGATCGGAGAATCCATTATTGTGTTACAGATCCTCTTGCATATAAATGTGAGGTATACTTAGCCTGTAAGGATTTTATTGCTAAGAGTGAGTCATTTTAATTTAAAAGCCGTAAATTTATATAGCGATAATGGACGTGAATATCTATTGAACGAGATGAACCCGTGTAGAAAGGCAAGCGGCGATGCGGCTGAACCTCCGCTCACGCGCTCGAACCGATCACTTAGCCCCGGCTTGACTGTATAGCAAGCGGGGATTGAGCGGAGGGATTTCTACACGGGGAAGAGTATTGTAAAAAAAAAAGGTATCAATTAGCATTTAACGGTTCCACGGACACATCAAACAAATGGTGTTTCAGAGCGTATGGTCCAAACCATAACTATAAGGCTAGGTCTATGATAGTCGGTGCGAAGTTGTCGCAAGTTTTCTGGGATGATGCAGTTTCAACCGCCACTTATTTGATAAATATATCCCTAACGAAAGCTCTGAAGGAGGACAAAACTCCGTATGAAATGTGGAATGACAAGAAACCTTAAATTAAACATCTGAAGGTATTCCGTTCGACAGTATATGTTCATCAAAAAATCAGAAAGTCGAAGTTCGACGAAAAATCCTGGAAAGGAGTTCTGGTTGGGTACGAATCGATTGGCTACAGAGTTTGGGGTGTGGAAACCGAGAAATATGTTGTTGTGAGGTACATCATTGTAAACGATACGAATTTCCTACGCTCGAGGCCTGTAACAAGGCTGGAGGGGGATGACGGGGCCTTAGGTCGGGGTATCCGGATAGAAACTGAGTTCCTTGACAGTAAGTCGGAATCAGTAGCGTCTCGTGCACCTGATATCATAAAATCAGGTGAAGAAAAAGAAATGGTTAGGTCGGATAATGATAATGATCAGGATGGATCACCTAAAATTACAACAATAAACAATGAGCGTGAAGCAACAACGAGTTTAGAAAAATGTATTGAGAACTCTTCATCTGTTATTGATAATGAAATTGAAAAGCCTAGAAGACGTGATCGGATAAAAGATCTCGCCCCTGTGTCATATAAAGAAAATTGTATTGATGATTATATCTTGCGCGGTGAATCTGTCGTATGTCAAATCCTGCAATCATTTGCGTAGAGAAGAAAGAGAAGATAGAGATCATTGGGAACGGGCTATCGAAGGTGAAATGAGCTCTCTTCTCGTGAATGAAACTTCACATTAGTGCCAAAGCCGGTAATGTAAACATTGTTGATTGTAAATGGGTGTTCACGATCAAAAATGATGAGTTTGGAAACCCATTAAAGTATAAAGCTCGTTTAGTTGCAAGAGGGTTTACTCAAGAATACATGGTTGACTATAATGAAACATTTGCTCCTGTAGCGAGAATGGCAAGTTTTCGGTTCGTGATTGCCTCTGCAAATGAGCATAATTTATTAATAGAGCATATGTATGTTAAAACAGACTTTTTAAATGGGGAATTAAACGAAGAAATTTATATTAGGGTATCAGAGGGAATTATTTCAGATGATAATCAGGCGTGTCGACTAAATAAAGCTCTAAACGGGTTAAAGCAAGCAGCTCGGCGCTGGTTCGAAATTTTTGAGAAAACTCTAAAAGAGAGACTTTAGGCGTACCCTGTCGAAATTTAATTGGATGTTTGATGTACATCATGGTTTATACAAGGCCAGATTTGGGTGCTGCAATAAGTATTTTGAGTAGGTTTTCAAATAAAAATAATGAGGAGTTGCGGAAATGTTTAAAAAGGGTACTGAAATATTTAAAGGGTACGCCTGATCTCAAATTGACCTATACCCGGGGTGACTGAGAATGTTTTATGTGATTACGTTGATTCAGATTGGGGAAGTGATGAGACTGAGAGGAAAAGTATATCGCTGTTTATGAAGCAGTAAAGGAAGCATTGTGATTTAGGTCGTTGGCGAATAGTATTAAAATTGAGGGGCCAATAGTAATTTTTGAAGATAACATGGGTTGTATCAGTATTGCAAATAATCCAACGAACTACAAAAGAACGAAACATATTGATATTAAATATCATTTATCAAGAGACCGAATTGCAGAAGGTCTAATTATACTAAAATATGTACGCAGTTGGCGGACGCTTTGACTAAGCCACTTCCAACAGTGAAATTTGTCGCACTGAGATGACAAATAGGGTTGGAATAATCGACTGATACGGAGAATATATTTGCATTTGTATTTTGCATTTAATAGACTAACACAGAAATTGTTTGTGGTATTATTACTAAATATGTAATTGAATTGTATGTATTAGGTGTGTCACTCAATTTTTACAGATTTTTCAGTAAATTTATTTAATAAAAAAAAATTGAGAACAACGAAGTTAATCTTGGAAATATTGTCCATCGTTTTCTATGACCTTGCGCCATCTCTCAGGTAACATTCGAATGCCGTCGCCAAAGAAATTTGCAGGCTTCCAGGCGATTAAGTCATCGACGAATTTACGCACATCGTCCAGCTTGTTGGAATTCGTATAAAATGCAGTGCCGAATGTGTTTATCAGTTGCCATCGTAAACTCTGCTATTCTGAAAGGTTATGTAACTTACATAGACTTGTCGTTCCGTGTTCTGAAACCTTTTGTCCATCCTTTCAAAACCCGAAAAGACCGCGAATATATTTGAAAAAATCTGTAAAAATTAAGCCACACACCTAATAATTTTTGATTAAGGTTTTTTTGGGTTTTTCCTTTAATCCTGCGCAACAAATGTTGGACCATAGTAAGTTTGCCCCAGAGAAAGAAAACGTGAGGAAGGCACATCAATGATTAATTGAATGGATGTTTGATACGCTTATAAAATAACATGTATAATTAGTATGATGATGATTTGAGCCGAAATATTCATTGAGAATTGTTATGGATTGTAATAAGAACGTGACTGTGTGATAGAGCCGATTAATTTTTGAAGGAGCGTGTTGAATTTTTGATTGAAATAATACGAGGCAAAAATTAATCTTATACTTTTCTCTCTATGTTTACACACGGGTATGGAAAACATTTTTATGGACGAAAATTCTGAGTAGTGGGGGCTATGATGTTTATGCTTTTGGTTTTTGGGTCTAAACAGAATTGAATAAATAAGACCTATTATGTCCACGTCACCAAGTAATTAATAAAGTTTTTTTTATTTGTTTACCGGTTTGGTTATTTAAATTATCCTATTTCCAATACCAACATTGATAAGATAATCCCTGACGTCGCATTTTTTTGGGCTTCAGATTTGGTGTGGAACTGGTAATGTATGCGACCGATTTGATTTCTCTATAATCAATTGAACAAATTCGATGCTATCTTTGATGGAATGTATAGTTCAATTAGTGCAATCGTTTGGTACCAATTGGAATTTAACTCATTGCTTCACGTAAGTTTCGAATCGCCTCGGGGGGCTCCCCAAGTATTAGTGCGCCATAAGAGAAGCACGTTAGCGCACACACACTACTACAAACCGGCAAAAAGTGGGGCAACGTGAGACGAAGCAAAGGGTTAATCGGGGATTTGGTTTTCAAGATTTTATTTTCAACTCCCCAATCCACAGGGAAGAATCTTTTTTTTTCATTCACATTTCTTTCCTACCACCATTGCGGTTTTATAGGCTCCCCATTCGTCTGTCTTGCCTCTCCCACTTTTTTCTTTTGATTTTTATCTCCGTTACCATGGGCCGTGTTACTCTTAACTGTACCCCATTCGGGTTAGGACTGCACGGGAAACCATGGAAAACCCCAGTCATACAACCGGCCGATGGTGCAGAGCTCTAATGAGCCCTTCGGTCACTGACTAGAGGGGCACATTAAGCTACTACACCGTGCCTACGTTCCGAAATTTTTGGACGAGGGTGCTCTTAAGCGGTCACCCATCCAAGTACTAACCGCACTAAATGCAGCGGCACTCGGAGATTCGCCGGAGCAATATCTAACTCACCCAACCATTACGGTCGGGTTCCAAAGGGAAGAAATTATTTGCAATTTTGCTACGAGTACGAAAAAAAGACTGTTATGATCGTTTTCATTACCGCTTAAAATATTCTTTTTAATATCATCTCGATCAAGTTCGAAGATGGTGCCGCTCATTTTGTAAATTCTCAAGTTATAACTTTAAGAACCCTAGCAGAAATTGATCGAAATTCTGCGACATTGAGCCAAATGCTTATATCTATAACATTGAATGTCGTACCCCAACTCACGCCACGACATTTTTGCGCTATGAAATTTCTGCTAGAGAACAAACGTTCTTATCACGTAATGAAGGCATAGGTCCCCAAGCATCCTGATTTGAGAAGGCGCATCCATTTGGAAGCGAATTAGTAATTTACTAATAAAAATGATAAAAAAGCTACTAATAAAAATGATAAAAACACCAAATGATAAAAAAGAGCAATTTTCCACTTGTTCTATTTTTGTTGTAAAACTTTTTTGAATACTTACTTCGTCTCTATCTTTTTGTGCTGCCTTCGCAATTGCTCTACACTGCGCCAGCTGCTTCTCCATATCCGTAATTTGATCTTGCATTGTTCTACGAATGGTTTCACACCTCTCTTTTGTCCTTGCTACCTGTCTAGCTGCATCCTGGCGCACTAATTCATTTTCTGAGCTCAATTGAACAATCTCATGTAGTTTCTGTTCCAATTTTTCCTCGTAGTCTGCTTCGCGTTCTTCGAACCGAGATACTGCGTTTTTGAGACGTTCATTTTCGTTTCTCAATTCGTTAATTTTGTTCTCGAGGTCGTCTAGGCGATCAGAGCCTGAGCCTTTTTCACCCTGTAAGGAAATCAACATGGTAAAATTTCACTCGATAAAAAAATCTCCCTGATGAGAAATTCGTTCATTTCATTTCTTTTGGAGGAGGATGGGTGGGTTGAGACTATATATATATATGGAGCATGTTCAATAATAAATTTTCATTTATAGTCCGAACAAACTCGAATAATTATCACAACTAAAATCGAAATAATGCGTCTAAAGCTTTGTGAAACTCCAAAGTTTATCTCGGAAGTGCCACAAATTTGTAGAATTCAACTCATCCCTGAAAGTCACAAATTCGGCTCAGAGATAAAAATGTAATACAGTAGGACTCCTGTAATTTCGACTCGACGGAGAACGAATTCCGAGAAGTCGAAAATAGCCGGCCGAGCTCTCATTGGCCAAGCGCGCGTAGTGGGGAGGTCAGAGAGAGAACGCATTATGTTGCTCTCTGTCTTCGACCGTCGGGCAACAGTGAGTCAATATAACCCCATAGTTAATCAATTTAGAAAAATATGAAACTTTAATAAAAATTAACGAAAACTAAAAATAAGTGAGTTTTGGAGCATAGTGAGAAAAATTAATCCAATGAACAATTAAATGGCAGAAAGGTCGCATGAAAAGAGAGGTGAATCGAGAGGGAAGAAGGAAAACGAGAGAACTTTTTTTTTCAATGAAAAGATTATAAAATTCAAATGACTCAAGGTTTAATTATTGCAACTTTATTATTATGCAGTTCAAACGCCTCCTGCTACAGACGTATCCGAGGAACAATAGATATTCTGTTAATGACTATAACAACAGTCTTACAAACTGAAGTTTCGACTACTTTTTTACAACTATTAATACTTGGACTTATCAACAATATCCCATGACAAATTACAATGCCAAGAATAGGACGATTTTCATTTTTCAGTACAGGCAGATTCGGCGTCGTGTTCTCTTATTTTTTTATCAATATCACGCAAAGATGTGAGGATGTCTTCAGGATAAAAATTTTCCTCGAAATACCTTACCGCGTACGTGAGACAACGGAATGCCTCATGTTTTCGTGTTTTTGCAGTCATCATTTTCAGAGGATCCTCTGGGAGATTATTATTTTCCAGGTCATACACCCCCTCTTTGCAACAAAGCTCAACACCAGAGTCTCTGCGTTTTCCTGGAGCACATGGACTTTCTCGAGCGACGTTTCCATTGTACTCGTCGTCATCTGCCTTTCCTTCCTCTGCTCCTGCCCTTTCGTCTTCTTTCTCCCCGTCTACATCATCTTCAGTTCCACCACTTCTGTTTTGCTGACCTTCGTTGAACACTTGATCAACTATCAAATTTTCCTTTTTTATGATGTCCAAAAATTTTTCCTTGAAGGGATCAACTGCTGCAGCATTGGCCGACAACTTTTCTCCACTGATTTTTACTCCCCGAATCCCGTACCTCTCCCTCCATGCCCTCAGCCATCCTTTGCTTGCTGCGAATGTTTCATTACCACCAAATGCTCTGTTAAATAGTATATTGTGTTACCAGTGCGTAAAGAACCACTTTTTCGCACGCACACGTAACACATCCTACTTTTTATAGTACCTGCCGAGATCACTGTTCAGAACCGTAGTGGGGGTAAAGTGGTTGCTTTTGTGCAAGGTGTGCGTAAAGTTGTAAGTCGTGCGTAAAGTGAATTTCGAGTGCGTAAAGCGAAGTTTTACGCACGACCTCTGAATTTCACGCACATTGTGCGTAAAACAACCACTTTACACACACTAAAAGGTTTCGAAAACTGGACTTATGAGGGAGGTTTTCAAATTACAAAAAATACGTGCTTTTTCTTGAGTCATCGGTCCTGTCAGCGGTACTCCGGCCGCACGTTTATCTCTGAACCAAATCCACATGGCCCTATCAACACGGTCATTCTCGACCCTTGACATACGTTTTTGATTCTTTGGTATTCGATCGCGGGAACCTGCCCACTCCAGTAATTTGTCCTTCTGTTGTAGCCATGCCCTGGGATGCAAGCAGCCACTTAAGTTAGGTGGCTGTTAGATGGCTGTTAGGTGCCCTAGGGAGCAAATAGCCACCTAACAGCCACCTAACAGCCACCTAATTAGGTGGCTGTTAGGTGGCTACTTGTTTTGGTGTAAAAAAGGGTAAATGATATCTGGAACGATTATGGATGTAAATCTATGAATTATTAATGAATTTTAGTAGCGTTAATGACATTAATTTCCATTAATTAAGGAAAATAATGGTTTGCGTATTGAAAGGGAAAATAAATCAGTAGGGGGAACGCCGCCGGATGGCGGCAGTGTCGACTTCTCGCCCAGGCCGATAAAGTCGGCAGCAGTGGCGGGAGAAAATTGATTATCCAATAGGTTCATATTGGCATTTTTTTAAATTAGTTTAATTCTGTACTGACCCAATTGCCCTACGTGAACAATATTATCGCAAATAGATATGTAGGAGGAGAATACTGCGGGTCAAATAGGGGCGAAGAGGGGCATCAAATAATTAGATAAATAAAATAATGGAATCTAAAAATTTTGAACTTTGTGAGAAGTGGGGGGAAGGGTATGTATACGGAGGGTTGAGATTTTCACCCGTTGATGGGGGGGGG